TTCCTTCATCCTTAATTATGCCTCTCTGCCCTGTCCCCTCTCCCTACTTTCCCTCCTCCCTTCTCCCTCCCCTCTCCTGCCTCCTCCTTCTTTCTTTCTTTCTTTCTCTCTCTCTCTCTCTCCCCTCTCTCTCTCTACCTCTCTTATCAGTCTTTCTCTCTCTCTCTCTCTCTCGCTGCCTCTAATCAACCCCCCCTCTTCGCTCCTTCTCTACTGGCGTTTTCCATGTTCCTTCGTCCCTCCCCCTCCCTTCCTCCGGCTCTCCCTCGTTCTCCCGCTCCTCTTGTTGCAGGGCCCACACCAATTCCAATGGCGGGCACATGTACGCGCACAAAGGATTGTCCGCCCGTTTAGGTTTGCCCGCCTGTCTAAGCTTGCCGCCCCCCGCAAAGAGAGAGAATCCCCCCTAAAGGGGGTGTGATCGAAGGCGAAAAGGGCGGGTATCGAGGGTGTGGGGAACTCGTTTTGAATGACACACGTGCAAGTAAGAGCGCATTTTCTTATAATGATTGTTGTTGATGTCGTTGTTGTTGTTGTTGTTGTTGTTGCTGCTGTTGAATATGCATTTCTAAGGGTTAAGTATGGTTGATCTCGGGAAACGGTTTCGCGCGCTCGCGCCTCGACGCCGCCTACATTTTCTCTGAAAACGAGGCTCCCGCTCGAGCGTTGGCTTAAGCCTACATGTGGGCCCTTGGAGGCCCAGCTATGACAACAACTGCTCCCGCTCGATACCTCCTCACAATTTACCCCGATATATCCTGGCCAGAGAGGCCCCCGAACTCAGGAACGGCGAGCTCTCTAGACGTCCTCACGTCAACTAAGCTGGCGGAGGCCCAGCCACCACGACAGGGGCTCCTGCTCGATACTTCCTCACGATTTACTCCGAGAGCCCCTGGCCAAGACGGCCCCCGAACGCATGAACGGCGCTTTCGTTTGAAATTTTCCCGTAATTCAGGCAAGTTGGTGGAGGCCCGGACACGGCGACAAGGGCTCCCGTTCGATATTTCTCCATCGGTGTTCCGACAGCCCATTGCCAGAGAGGCCTCCGAACTCAAGAACGGCGCTCTCGCTCGAGACTTCTTCGCACTTCAGTCAGTGGCCTACAAGGAAGAGATTCCCCCCGAAAGGGGGTGCAATCGAAGACGATGCAAGACACGCGTGCCAGTAAGAGTGGACTTTCTTAACATGATTGATGATGTTGTTGCCGTCGTCGTCGTCGTCGTCGTCGTAGTCGTTGTCGTTGGCGTTGTTGCTGTTGTTTTTGTTGTTGTTGCTGTTGTTGAACTCCGACTCTTGAAGAATAAGTATTGTTGATCCCCCCTCCGGCAACCATTGTGTTCTTTCCCCAATCAGAGCTTGCCTTTGTAGGGCTTGTAGCGGATTCATATGGTTAGGTGAGGTTTGTAACCGATTTCCGCGTCCCGCCTGGGGCCCGAGTGCCCGGGATGCCCGGGTGCCCCAGTGCTTTATAGCCCTATAGCCCTATAGCCTTATAGCCTTATAGCTTTATAGCCCCAGAGCCCTCTAGCCCTACGACCATATAGCCCTATAGCCCTATAGCCTTATAGCACTATAGCCCCATAGCCTAATAGCCTTATAGCCCTATAGCCCAATTGCCCTATTGCCCTATTGCACTATAGCCCTACAGCCTTACAGCTTTGTAGCCCTACGGCCCTAGAGCCCTATAGCCCTACAACCATGTAGCCCTAAAACCCTATAGCCCTATCGCCCAATAGCCCTACAGCACCATAGCCCTATAGCCATATAGCCTTATAGTCCAATAGCGCAATAGCCCGTAGCCGTATAGCACTATCTCCCTATAGCCCAATAGCGCAATAGCCCTATAGCCCTGTAGCCCTGTAGCCCTATAGCCCAATCGCCCTGAATCGCTATAGCCCTATAGCCCTATAGTTCTACTTGCCTATAGCCCTATAGCCCTATAGTTCCATAGTCCTATGGCCCTATAGCCCTAGCCCTACGGTCCTATAGCCCCATAACGCTATAGATTCATAGCCCTATGGCCCTATAGCCCCATGCCCTATAGCCCTATGGCCCTATATCCCTATAGCCCTATAGACCTATAGACCTATAGCCCTGTGATAGCCCCATCGCCTTATAGCCCTATAGCCCCATAGCCCTATAGCCACATGTAGACTTTGATTCGGATTTTTCTGCGGTATCATTCAATTGAAGTGCTTCCCCCGGGGCTCGCACCTGGATTTTTATCGTGGAAAGTCACGGAGCTCAAACTGGGCTCCCACAATAATGACGGCTCCCACCTGATACTTCCCAAATCGCGCTCTCGCGCGGGACGTCCGCACAATTCATGTGCGCATCGCTCTCTCGCGTGGGACCTCCTCGCAATTTACTCAAACGATGCGCTGCGCCCTCGGCTCTCAGGAATCACGCTCTCGCTTTGACTTTTCTCACGATTTACTTGGGAATCGCGCTATCGCTCGAGACTTCCTCGCGATTCATGCAGAATCCACGCTTCAGCAAC